AACCATCATCTGTAGATTATTTAAATAATGTGTTATTTGGGAAGGTCTGTTGTCACTTCATGACAATAAATGGAACTGAGATAATCTTGGCAATTGTTATGCTCCCCTCATATCAGTTGGCTTATTTATTGTAACAGCAGGAACAATGGTGATATTGGGCAACAACAACTCTATTCTCAGTAGTACACAACTTACCACTGCCATTTTAATTTTTCATGCTATTCCTGATATATTGTTAAGTGGAAGTTTCCTGAAGAATGGCCTGAGGCAAATTTAAAATTTTGTATTTTGGGCCTCATGAAGCCAAACTGGCTAAAGAATTATAGGAAAGGAGGTTGTATAATATATAGAAAAGATACAGAATAGAAATTTGTTAAACTGAAATTGTTTATACAAATCTACAAATCATGATGGTAAGAATAATATAATTTCCCTTCTATGGTCTTTATTGGCTTTATTTGCTTAATTCCAGCATCACAGAATTGCAGTTTAAAACTTGCATTTTAAAAATGAACATTAATCTATGTATCATTTGACAGAATTAGATGCATAAGCTTCCTGTCACAATATACCATCATAAATACTTCCCTATCATTCTTCATTATAGAGAAATAAGCAAATAAAATCAGCAAATGAATTCTATCTGCAAAACTACCTATCATGATCTCTTTCTGTCAGAGATATTAACATTCTGGAAAACTACTATAATACTTTTCAGTAATTTTTTTTCCTCCTACCTTTTTGGGGGAGAAAAATAATTCACTGGAAGAATGACACATTTATGTATTCTGTTTGAAATAGACTGGGGGGGGGTTGTAACTTTTTGATTAATTATTACTACAGTGCTGTATATGCATGTCTTGAAATTGAGAATGCAGATGTTATATTACATACTATGTAAACCAAGATCTATTTTACAACTATTGGTTGGACAAGCTATAGTGATTTGTTTAAAGATAACAGGCCTAAACGTTAGTGGGTAATTTTTATTTGTCACACTATGTTTAGCATTCCATATCAGTTGAATGATTCAAGGTTTTTTTGTATCAGTATATTTGGTTTGGTGCCATTATATCAAATCTGTTAAACTCTCCATGACAGATTGGAAATTGAGACTGAAACAACTTTAAATGAGACTTGTCTTTAGAAGTTGTGCATACTGCAACACTGGAGACTTTTAAGAACCATTTGTCTGAAGCAGTGGTGGGATTCTGAAAATCCATTCTGGGCCAGGGCAACAAAAAAACTAGGTACCGGTTCTGCCAAAGTGGTGCAAACCGGCTGAATCCTACCACTGGTCTGAAGTAATATAGGGTTTCCCATTTCAGCAGTGGGTTGGACTAGAAGACCTCCAAAGTCCCTTCCAACTCTATTATTCTGTTAGACACATTTTAGCACTTTAATTTTTTTTAATTTCAAATTTACTATCCAATATTTGTTCCCTGCTCTCACTTTCACTTTGAATTATAATTAAAAACTAAAATACAGTAGAGTGAAACTATCAAGAAAATAATAAAGTTTCTATGTACAAGTCAATTTTGCTGTTATACCAAGGCCTGCACAGACACATTGCTGTTGTTTAATGTGGTCTGTCGATTGAGCTCTAATTATAAATGTGTCCTTGGGCCATTAAAAATGGCATCACACATGGAATCAAATTGCATAAAACATTACACAAAGAAAATAGCCTTGGCAGTAATATCACTATAATCTTTACATCATTATAATTGCTCTAATTTAAGAAGAATTATGTGAGGTACTGCAAGAAATATGAATGCCGATTTATGAGGATTATATATTATATACGTGTTATATATTGTTCAGAGTAAAAAATAATAATAATTAAATGCCCACATAATAAAAATTGTCTATGATCCTTAACGTTTTATTATTTTTTTCCTGTCTTCACTGAAAATTATTTTCAGTAGCATTCATTAGAGGGGTCTCTTTAAACGAGCAAACTATTGCAATATCTATATGATAGCCATTTCTTTCAGGGCCTTGAATTTCATATTAGGTGCGATTTTCATGAATATTTTAAAGAGGTCGTAGTGTCAAAATATCAGTTGTGAATTGGTCATCTGTGCGGAAAAAACCCACCGAGCAAGGTTAAGCGCAGATATGACTACCTTTCGTGACCCTCTCACCTCTTGTGTCCAGCGCCTTGCAACAGCTGTGGGGTTACCACTGTTTGTCATTATATTGACACAGCCATTTTCATGGTATGCCTGTTGTAAATTTGTTGTTACATGGTGCGTCTGCCACAAATTGCACGGTATACGTAAATTTGAGTGTGTGCCGGTGCTGGCATGGGAGGGGGATATCATGGTCCTGAATGGAGCGTGTGATGGGGCAGTCTGCAGGAGTTCTAACCCTGATAAATTGTTTACTTGTTAGCGTTGGAGCTCAAGAACGGGTCTGGGGCTGCAAGCTCAGCGGGACAGAAGTATGAGGTGGACCTACGCCAATTATGGGCCTTTGTCAAGTCCTACTCTGTGATTGACACCAATGTTTCCCCTCTCACCATGGGTCCTTTTAGTAGCACAGGCCCAACATAGGCCCCACTGTGCTAATGCTATATTTCTGAATAGTACCTTCAATTTTCTCTGCAAAAATTAAGCTAGGCCTGAATCTTGTGCAAGACCTAAGGCCTTTATTTTTAACATAATTATTTTTCCTGTTTTTTCAAAATAAGTTAAAAACAGTAGTTATGGAGGCTCTCTTTGCAACAAAGAAAGCAAAGGAGCAAAAACATTATCTTTGGCTGACTGACTTCAAGTTAATGATCTTCCGTGCTGAATTCTACCCTCTGCTACTCAATAAGGAGCTCGGGTAGTGTAAAAAGAAGCACCTCTTTAATCCACTAACACTCCATTGTCCCATTGTGGCAAAATGATCATTTCATCAGTTTGGGGTGCTCTAAGCCACAGTAAGGGTTTTGGAAAAAAGAAAGAAAAAGAAATGATTCAGAGAGGTATTTCTCTCCTTCATTTTTCCTCAAGTGACGGCTGAATAACTATGCAAAAAAATTAAGGCATAATGACCCGGCAACAATGACAAAACCTAATTAGTCACGGAGGCCACTGGCTAATGAGCCGCAAAAAACGGCTCTTGAGTGTGTAATAACTGTATTTTTCTCCATTTCTTCTCCTTTAGTCACAGTCTTGTGTGGTATTTTTAACAAACTAAAATGGCACCAGATGCAACAGGGTTCAGACATTTTAACTTGAATTAAGAAACCATATGTTCAGATAAGTCATGGTTTCCTCTTTCCCACAGACTGTGCTCTGCATCTGTGATGTAAAATTGTGGTTAGAGAGCTGTCATTTACACTTTCACCCATCCTGCAAGTAAACGTAGTCTTGCCATATTTACGTTGAAAAAGTGGCTTGTTGCAGAAGCTGTACATTTAATTGCTGTCCCCTTGTAAACCCTAAGAACAGAAACTGAGAAATATATTATACTGCATTCAGTGAAAAAGGGTTACTTATGCCTGTGCAAGATGCACCTAGAAAAACAATCACATCCAAAAGCTTCTAATGGAATAGCAATGGGACAATATGTGACCAAAAACCTAGAGATTTCCAGATCCTAGCCATTTAGCAGGTATTGCACAACTGTGGTATGAAGACAGTCTGGATAGTTTGTAAATAGAACCCCCCCCCAAAAAAAACCCAAATGTGATAGGTATGTCATTGAGCAGATACATGAATAGGATTCATGTCTGAATAATTGTGATCATGATTGTGAATTTCATTTGTGTTAGAATGCTCAGCTGAGGGGAGAGCATCCAAACATGCCAACGTGAAGGCCCTCATAGGAGATGGAACTAATAAATGATACAGAGATAGGGGAATTGCAAAAAGAGTCTAATCCCGTGGTGGTGAACCTGTGGCATGCAGAGCCCTCTGTGGGCACATGCGCTGTCGCCCCAGTCCTAGGTCTTCAGCTGGGTTTTATAAAACCTTTTCGCTTTAGGCCTCCGCCGCCGTGTGCAAAAAAAAAGAAAAAAGGTTCGTTCAATCAATCAATCAATTTCAACTCATGGGAAAAAAATCTTGCAAAGTTGGAATTGATTGATTGAACTTTTTAGTCCCACCCAGTCTGCCATTACCATCGCAGCCATGCCCACCCAATGGGCCACACCCACCCAATGGGCCACACCCACCCAATAGGCCATGCCCACCCAGCACCTGACGATACATAGTGAGTTTTGGGTTGCAGTTTGGGCACTCGGTCTCTGGTCTAATCTATATATTCTGGTCTAATCTATATATTCACTGGTCTAATCTATATATTCACTTATCCTTTAATAAATTGCTATCTCTGTAGAAACAATAAACAAAAATAATAATCTGGTATCCAGCCAAAAAATAGCCATTGTGTAAAATGGATTCGTTTAACAATTGTTGCATTTGCTTAACAATAACCATGTTTACTTAACAACCCTCGCAAGAAATGTAAAATTGGGTCTGGTCACTTGGTGACCCGCTTAATGACTGCAACTACTTACAACTATAATTCCAGGCTCAATTACAGTTGTAAGTCAAGGACTCCCTGTAGCATTCTCCTTTTAATTTATAGTGGAAAAAAGTTTCTCCTGTTGCAATTTCTGGACCTGAAAAAGTAATAACTAATATCACAGAGTCAGAATAGGCATGGGAAAAAACACCCAGTATATCTAATCAAGTAGGTTTCTTCTCAAGAGATGGTCATCTACAGAACTCAAGGAACCAAGCCTTCTTAGCTACAGTATTTCCTCTTTGGGACAGTTTACTTTCTGAGATAAGATTAATCTCCATCATGTTCATTTAAAAAAAACCCTGTAAAAATGTAAGGTTTTAAAAAGGATGGGGGTTTTCTATGAGTTGAGAACTTTAGCTTTTGTGTCAATGTTATTACTGCTTGATAGTCAAAGTTGTCTTCTGTTTTTGCTTCTGATTTGTTTTGCTACTGTCTTTTTGATCGTTTATTTTCCCATTTTAACTTTTTTATTGTAGGATGGGAGTGCAAATTGCTCAGAAACCCACTGGACTGAAGTATCATATAAGCCCCAATAAACAATTAATTATAACTATGATATAGTTGTGGTGTACAACTCAATATGGAGAAGGAGATGGCTATAGAGCTGGATGAGTTTGAGCCTGCAGAATCCCACCGTCATTATTCCCAAGCATTTCTTTGGCTTACTGAAAAGTAAATGAAGTGATTGAAAAGATACATAGAGTGAGATCATGGCAGAAGACTAAAGGGACTTGACTCAGCATTGGTAAGTCAAGTTTAAGCCTAGGCAATGTCTATAAGAGATGATTCTTTTGTGGGCATTCCAGCTCAGCAGCCCTGTTCACAGCCACCAAGATTCTTTTAGGGAATCATAAGTACAATAAGATGCCTGCACATTTCTGGGTTTCCTTAAAGATAAAGTCACTCATGTATGTTCTAGGTTGAACATTAATTAGAAAGAGGCCATTGTGGTGAACAAGACACTGCAATTATTATCCAATGAGGCAGCTAGTAGGACAAATCATCTATTGCATCATAATATCAGTACTAAAGTTGCTGCATTATTAAAACTATCATCTATTAAACCCTACAGAGAATAGCATCAGAACCTATCAGAAACCAGTTTGGTGTAGTGGCTAAGGCACCAGGCTAGAAACAGGGAAAGTGAGTTTTGTCCCGCCTTAGCTATGAAAGACAGCTAAAGTGGCTTTGGGCTAGTGACTTTCACTCAGCCATAGGAAACAATTGACTTCTGAAATTCATGCCAAGAAAAACTTCAGGGACTTGACAATTGCTAGGAATCAACACTGACTCAAAGACAGACATACATATCAGAAATTGCCTTGCCAGAATTGACTCTGCCCATTGGATCTGAGCATGTTAGCTGATCTGCTATGAGCCCCTATCCCTCCCAGAAGGAACAGGGGCCAGGTAGCAGGGATTTGTTCTCTAAAACATGCTTTTCCCCTGAGATGTGTTCAGCATCATCCTATCTGTCATTCTGTAGGCCCATTCTGAAGTGCCTTTCCATTGTGGTGTTATTTTATTTTACTTTTATTATATATATATTTTGTTTTTGTATACTGTATATGCATATAAAACACACTTATATGCACATACAAACACACAAGGAACTTTTGTGCTCCTGAGAAAGTGGAATAGTAGAGGCAAAAGAATGTCAAAACAGCAAGCAATATGACATGGTATTCCCCTACGTTTAAATTGCATGTGGTGTGAGGCATGAGGTAATATGTCCAGGGCTATGTGAATGAGTTATGGAGGAATTTTGCAGCTATAGTCTTTCTAAGTCACGTTTCAATGGTGAAATAGATTGCTTTGCTGCTATGAAATAGAATTTTGCTCTCCTGAGAGAGTTCCATTTGAAAACTGGAGACTTCTGTAGCCTTGATACCAGGATCACGGTTTGTTGGCTGAAAAATGAGAACACTCTCACTCTTTCTTCCTCCCTCCCTCCCTCCCTCCTCTCTCTCCCTCCCTCTCCCTCTCCCCTCCTCTCATTTATATTTGTATTTTATGGTATGCTAATGAGAAAGAAAAAGCAAAAATGTCTGTTTTCCAGCTGCAAACATCAGCAAATCTGATATGGGCTGTGTGTCCCTAAACCAAAAAAAAAAAAACCAAAAAACCCTTGTCTAATCCTATATAACAGAATGCTAATCTCCTATTACATTTCCTTGTTCTTCTCTTTTTCTCTCTTTCTCTCCCTATAGCTCACAATAGTTTAATTCCAAGGCTCTGCTGGGACATCCTCCAGAAAATGTCAGATCCTCCATTTGGAAAACAGTACATAAATTTATAAACTCAAACTTTTAGCATGCACATAGAACAGATCCCCTTCCTGGCCCCCCTTTCTTTGCTTTATACAACAAGAGTATCTTTGAACTGAATTCCCTTTACTGTCATTCTATTCATTTTATACATTCAAGATAAGGTTAGATTTTCTCTACCCTGAAAAAGGTTTTACTTTCTTAGAGGAAACCAATATTTTCATCTCCAGAACTTGTTTAGTGCTAAAGAATATTTTTAGTTATAATGATCTTAGATTTTGGCACTTCTCCAAAGAACAAAACCAGGAACACTAACTTTCATCTCTTCCAGTCCTGCAAGCTTGGCTGCTCTGTCCATTGGGCCTTTTCCTGCACCCAAGTAAATGTTATTATCCTCTCTTTTTTTTATATACTGCACTTCGTGCCCTTATGAACCTGTTGAAAAGTAGTGAAAGAGAGTTGAAAAGTACCACTGCCTCCGAAAAGTAGCGCTGACTAGGAGGCAGAAAAGGGGAACTCCGGTTTTATTCAGTCCTAAAGATAACACCATACAGAATGATAGACTCCTTGGAATTGTTTGTTCCCCTTCAGCCATTGTTTCTCCATCACTGAATGAGCCTCTTAGCTGCACTTGAGGGCCTGTCACAGGTAGGCAACCAACAGAGATAATTCCCAGCCTATGCTTGATTGCCCCCTTATAGACACTCACTCATGATTCTGAAAGGCCTCAGACACTGTTGAATAAACTCCTACTCGCTTCCATAAACTTTTTCTCCCACTGAATTTTCCGGGGATGTGAGCAGCTCCCAGCCAGGCTTGAGGATGCTGCTGAATGGACTCCTGTTCTGAATCAAAGTTTGACGACCCCCAGCCTCTTTATAAAAGCCACAGAAGAAAATGGGGCCATCCTTTGGGAGGAATTTGCTTTCTTCGGCAGGTGAAGACCAAGCCTGTGTTAACTTTTGTGGCAGGGTTTTTGTTTCGGTTTGGGGTTTGCAGCCCTCTGCTCTGCGCTTCAATATTTCTGATTTGACTTTCTTGCAGCGTATCCTTCCTTCCTGAAGCCTCCACAGACAGAAAGATGCTTTGCAATTCTAGTGCCTTTGGTGATCCGCTGCAATGAAACTCAAGAAGCATATGGGATACTCATCTTCCAATGCCTTTCTTTCATTTCCGCTGTTATAGCAAAAGGATCTGAAGGATTCGGTTTATGCTATAACTGATTACTGGTGCCAAATATCTGAGGCACAAAAACAAAACATTTAAGCAAATCCCTTAGAAATGTATTTACTGAAACAACGTTAAAGCATAGGCATCAAAAAGATTTTGCCACTTGCTTTGAAGCACAGTGCAAGCCAAGTAAATAAGCTGCGCTTGAAATGCAAACTAACATTTTTCAGATAGCACAAATAAAAATAAAAATGTTTGCTGACAGTGCAATTTCAACAAAATGCTAATATCACAACACAGCTGCTAGATAAAACACAAATTGAATGTATAATCATGCTAGAAATGAGTGAAAAAAGTAATTTTTGAATAGTCAGTGAACATCAGCCCCCTTTCTACAAGATCAAATTTTAGTAAACATATACTACAGATACTTTTATTATGTATTTTACGTGGTTAATAAAGGTATATTATTAGTCATACAACTGTTTACATTATTCATATAGAGTCCAGAGGCAAATCAGGAATTCAAAAAGTACAATCTATGGGTTACACAGCTCATGTGGACTGGGTCTTGTAGCTCCAACCCAGGTCTAAATGAATGAAATAAATATTTAAACTGATTTTTTTTTTATCATGTTGAGTATAGTAGAACATGCCCAGAGCATTGCAAGGAGTGAAATTGGTGCTTTATGTTCCCTTCATTTTTTTAGAAGAACCTAGAAATCACGAAACTCTGTTTTTCCCCACTTTGGAGAACGGATTCATATTTATTTGTTTGTCTGTCTATCTATCTATCTATCTATCTATCTATCTATCTATCTATCTATCTATCTATCTATCTATCTATCTATCTGTCTATTTATCAAATTTCTACACTGCCTAATACACTTATGTGACTCTGGATATTAAAGAGTTATTATTTGTCCTTCATATATCACAAGAAATAGACACACACTGGGAAATAACTTGGATCATCCATTGCCAAAATTGTGTCCCTTTGCAACTTAGATTCTGTCTGCTGCAAAAAAAATCTGCAATGCTTTTTTAAAAAAAATCAATAGAGGAAGCTATCACACTGAAAAAAGACATTTCAGTGTCACACACTTGTGTACTTAAAAAAAAGCTGTAGCTTTTGCAATAACTATGACTTTGCTTTATGAAGAAAAAATTTATAAAATATTTATTTTAAAAATAAAAGTAATATATATTCTTGAAAAATAATAGAGGAAGGAGACCTACCACTTTGGTTCTGATCTTGAGTTCTTTTTTAGTGTAGCCCTTAACATGTCACAAAAAGTTCACAGTAGCCCACAAGCTAATATCTGTGTTTCAAATACAGATGATTCTACAGGTTTATGGTTCACTTTGCATTATGTCTATTTCCTTTCAAAAACAAAGAATCATTCTAAAACAACTAGTCAGAAATTATAGTCCTATATTGTCTCCCTCAGTTTTAAGAGATGCAGCTGATTTATGTACTTTCACTCAAATACAGACAGACGATATTGGCAGGAAGTAAAAATAACTTGTTATACATGATCCATGATCATCATAGTATTTCCTTCAGGATAGGCAAAACTATGAAAAACCACTGAAGAGCAGTAAACCAAACAAATTAAGGACATGATATAAGAACAGGGAATATAAGAAATCAAGTTTATACCAGCACTGTTCCCTTTGCTTCTCTTCATCTTGAATAAACTTCCTTCGTACATATGTTTCTTCTTTAATCTTCAGTTTTTTTTCTTTTTGAGTATCTCATTGACACCAACAAGCTAGGAGTTTCTTATTCTTTCCCTTCCTCTTGACTTGAACATTTTTTTATAACATTCCATAAACAAACAGAATTCATTTTATAACATCCAATCCCACCATCTGTAACCCGGCCATTCTTAACATTTTCACAATATCTGTGATTCTCATCAGAGTTTTTTCTCTTATATTCTGATACTTATAGAATTCATTGCACTGTTCAATATATCCTAAAATATTTCATCTCTTCAATTTTCTCCCAAACCATTGCACTATATTTATTTTTTAAACCCATTCTTTCTGTTCTGGGCTCCTTATTTATGTTTCTTCACCTGCTTTAAAAGCAACATTTTGTTCCCAATCAAAATTGCTCTGCATTTTCTCTACCTCTTTTCATTCCTTGACTCTACATTCCTTGCAGCTTTTTTTGTCTCTTTCTAGCCATATTATACAGTATTTCTCATCATTTTTGCAGCATATATGTGTTTTTCCGATCTATAGTTTTTTCTATCACTCATTTCTAGTTTCATTCATTATGTTAGCAGATGAAACTGTC